TATTCACTGGAAACACTGGCAGAAGTGGCTCCTCACGCCTCTTCCCACTCTCCGTTTTCCTCACAAACACGGGATAAACCCCTCACCCCCCCCCGACACCCACAACCTTGACCTTGCCCTGGCAGGTTTAAGCCACTACGCCGAGCCCGGACAAGGACACCCCGTTCCTCAGCGGGGTCTGTCCCACAGCGCTGACAGCACTCCCCGCGTTTCCCTCCCCACACTCCCATGTCACCCCCTCAATGTCACCGCGGCCCCCAAGATGGCGGCGGCGCCGCATCCCCCCCGGCCCCGCCGACTCCGGGGCGGGCATGGCGCTCACCAGGCCGGCCTGCCGCGGCAGGGAGCGGGCGAGGGCGGCGGCCACGCGGGCGGAGAGCATCGCGGCGGCGGCGGGTCCCGGCGGGAGGCTGAGGCTGGCGGACGCTGAGGACGGCCGGCCGCGCGCTCTGCACACAAAATGGCGGCGGCGCCTCACGCCCCTTTTGGCGCCGAGGCCGCGCCCAGGGGGCGGGGAGCGCGAGGGAACTGCTTCCCGTGCCCCTGATTTGGGTATGTGCGCGTGTGTGTCTACCTGTCTGTCCGTCTACACACGAACACGTAGAATATGTAATGAAAATTATACACGTAATTAAAAATAAAAATTAAAAAAAAAAAACTAAGTGAGGCTTTTAGGAAAAAGGCCGCTGCGGGAGGTGTCCTTGAAATGGCCCTGAGCGGGCGGAAGGGGCGGGGAGTGAGGGACGGCCGGAGATGGGACAGGGGCGGGAATGGGGACAAGGGCAGGGACACGGGAAGGAATAGGGACAGGGCAGGAACACGGGAAGGAATAGGGACAGGAACTGAGGCAGGGACAGGGACAAGGCCGGGGACGCGGGTAGTGACAAGGGCAGGAGCACGGAACGGACAGTGACTAGGGCAGGAGCACGGAAAGGGACAGGGACAAGGGCACGGAAAGGGACAGGGACAAGGGCACGGAAGAGAACGGGCATAAGGACGGGGCAGAGACACAGGGACAGAAGTGTTACCCCGCGGGCTCGTTCCTCGGTGTGCAGCACCATTTCACACACCGAGGCGGGGTATTTCTGTCTTTTTTGTCTATTTAGCACAAAGCAGGTAGCTGGGTGTCTAGTTATCCATCATCAAAACGTTACTCTGTTTATACACTTCAGCAACCAAAGGTGTCAGCATTCATTGCTTACAAGTTACATAACTTCTCTGTTAGTTAGTACAATTCTATTAACTACCACTTCAATTAATTACCACTCAGACCCTTCTTTGCTAGTTAAATCTCGCTTTTCATTTTAGTTAGTCTCTTTGCAGTTGGTGGTCAATGAGATGCTGGCCACAATCTCCCACTGCCAGAATTACTCTGCTCCCAGGTACTGACTCCTCAGTCCTGCTGACTTCAGTCCTCATGGCTCTCATCCAAACAGCCATTCCTCCTGGAATAATCTTGATTTCTTTAAAAAAGCCAAGCACGCAATGCTCACAACATGCAGCTGCTTAATCGTAGCTGTCCTGCTACAGCTACTGATTAAATCTTGAGGGGTGCAAATCTGGTGGGGCTCAGTATCACGGGTAGGAAAAGGGATGGGGCAGTGACAATGCTGTCTGCAAAAATTTGATTCCTTCCCTGTTGTGCAATAGGCCAATAATCAGGCACACGAGAGAGACATTGATTATTTATTGCAGGGTTGTGCAAGACTGGGTGCTCAGTGGCATTCCAGAACAATCAAAACGCTTCACAATTTATAGATCGTAGCATACAAAGGAACTAGCATTCACTGGCTACATGTTACATAGTTCTTTTATTAATTAGTATGGGTTAATGATTCTACTGTTTCTCATGCCCAGTCTTTCTCTTCTTTTGGCTCGGTGGATTTCTTGGGTCAGTTGTCGCAGATTCCCCCACCAGAATTACTGTTTACCCAGTCAGAACTGATTTCAGCACAGATGCTGGGTTCACTTTATTATTGGGAGTTCAGGCAGATGTCCTTGTGGCCTGTAGACTCTGCATTCTCTGTGCCCACTATCAGTGGTACATCCTTCCTCCCCAAGATTTGTTAACCTCCCCCTAGGTCTGAGATCATTGCAGCATATCAAGCTCGACAAGGCAATTCCACCAACAAGTAATTTGTTTTCTCTAACAGATGGACATTTCTCAGAGCGTGCTTGTTAGCTGCTGTTTCATGGATTAAATCGGGTTGCCCTGAGTACAGAAGCCCAGAAGATAAGAGGTTGTGTGCCCCAAACACCAATAGCTGGATAACTGCAGAGCCAACCACGGATTGTTGATAACAGGAATCAAGGTTTGTTGGTAAAAACACAGCTGTGAGGAAGAACAGGATGTGGCTGGAGAAAGAGCCATTCAGAGACAGGGCAGCATTTTTCTGGAACATCCTTGTTCTGGTTCCTAGAGACATACACAGCACAGCAATGAAGCCAAGAATCAGTCTAGGACTGTACAGGGAATCAAGACCACCAGAGACCCTTGAAGCTATCCAACTAATCTTCAGAAAAGTCTAGAAGAATGAATTGCAGCTGATAAATTTGCATGGGAAGTAGGAAAGTAACCTTCAGGGCAGGGAAAGTCATTGATAAAAGGTGCCCCCACCAAGACCTTACATGCAGGCATCCCAGGACCCTAGGCACTCCACCAGCTGGATCAACACTGGAGCGAAGCCTCGTGATCTCTTTCTTCCTCTCTCCTCCTCTTTAATCCTGCTTTCTTCCCTTTCACCCTACCTCTTTTTCCAAAACCTACTGTCCTGGGCTTACATGAGGAGGTCAGAGACTAACATTAAAATTTCCATGCCAAGTGTGTAATTTAACTTGGAAAACTTTTGTGAACACTCTGAATTTTGTCGTTCCTTTTGACTACGAGCACCTTTGAATCTTGGATACTCCATTGGACACCACACCAAGCCCCAGAACACTTCCAAGGTTGGGGCATCCACAGCTGCTCTGGGCACCCTGGGCCAGGGCCTGCCCACCCTCCCAACTATGAGCACCTTTGAATCTTGGATGCTCCATTGGACACCACACCAAGCCCCATGTAAACTGGGCCAGAACACTTCCAAGGTTGGGGCAGCCACAGCTGCTCTGGGCACCCTGGGCCAGGGCCTGCCCACCCTCCCAGCCACCAATTGCTGCCCAACATCCCAAAATGTGTGCCTGCCCTGTGGCAGTGCAGCCATGGCCTGTGTGCTGTCCCTGCAGGCCTTGTCCCCAGTGCCTGGGCAGCTCTCCTGGAGCCCCTGCAGGCCCTGGCAGGGGCTCTCAGGTGTCCCTGCAGCCTTCTCTTGTGCAGGGGAGCAGCCCCAGCTGTGCCAGGCTGGCTCCAGAGCAGAGGGGCTCCAGCCCTGGCAGCATCTCCGTGCCTGCTCTGCACTGGCTGCAGCAGCTCCACGTCCTTGTGCTGCTGGAGCCAGGGCTGGGGCAGCTCTGCAGGTGGGGTCTCACCTGAGCCCAGGGGCAGAATTCAACACCCCCACCCCTCAGTCTGCAGCTGGGGAGGATTTTATGTCTCATATGTGAGACACGATTTGGTCTGCAGTGAGAAAGTGCTGAAACTCAGGCACAGTGTGATCGGTCCCTCTGGTAATCCATAGAGGTTGGTAAAGCCACAGATTGAAAAGGTGAAGTGAAAAATCCTCAGCTACTTTGTCATGTGTTGTACCAAACGTGATTCTTCATCAATTCTTCCCATGCTGATTATTTTGGAAATCACTTAAATTTCTGTAAAAGTGCCTGGGAAAAAAAAAACAAAAACAAAAAACAAAAACAACAACAAAAAAAAACCCACCAAAAACAAAAACACAACAACTACCGACAAAAAAAAAAAAATTTAAAAAAAAACCAAAACCAAACAGAAAACTAAAACCATATGGATGTTAAGAACTAACACCACCATTTTCCCCAGCCAGGGCTTCACACCCCTTTTTGTGATGACCATTTTCTGAATATCCATATATCCGATTTAAACCCCCCTGGCCCAGCCTGAGGCCGTTCCCTCTCCTCCTGTCCCTGTTCCCTGGGAGCACAGCCCGACCCCCCCGGCTGTCCCCTCCTGGCAGGAGCTGTGCAGAGCCACAAGGTCCTCCCTGAGCCTCCTTTGCTCCAGGCTCAGCCCCTTCCCAGCTCCCTCAGCCTCTCCTGGGGCTCCAGCCCCTTCCCAGCCCCGTTCCCTGCCCTGGACACGCTCCAGCCCCTCAGTGTCTCTCTTGTGCTGAGGGCCCAGAGCTGTCCCAGCACTGGAGGTGCCTCAGCAGGGCCAGCACAGGGACGGGCAATGCCCTGGTGTTAAAAACGAGAGCAAGTTCGTTTTTACGTACTTGAGTGCTTTCAGCATTTATTATCAGAAAAAGGAAGGCCTAAAGCAAAGGGGCCCGCGGCCCGAGCAGGAGCGTTCCCGTCGAGGATGCTGCAACGCCGGCCCTGAGGCTTCTCAGCAGGGATGTCCCAGATTCAGTGGGTCAGAAGCCCCTTTTTATCCTGTTTTTTGTTCCTTTGGATTGGTTTCCTTTTGGATTCTTCATTTGCATGAAGGTTTAAGGCGCTTGATTGGCCCATTACAGTTCTCTCCAGGTTGACTCATTTCGCCTGGGGGGGGATGCATTTTACTTAGGTGTAATACGGTACGCGGAGTACCGTATTCCCTCTAACTACGCTTTTAACCCCTTTTACAATAACCAAACTAACAGTACATGCTTAATGATCTATCAACTATTTTACAACAGTGTCTAACCTATTTTTAACACGGGGGCTGTGTCACAGCCTGGCTGGGACAGCCCAGGGGCCATTGCCCACCGGGGCACCCTGGGCTCATCTCCAGCTGCCGCCACCAGCACCCCCAGACATCTTTCTGCTTATTGGTGTCTTCCTCCTGCATCTCTTCTGTTGTTGGGGTTCGTTTGGCCTTTTTTAGCATCTTCCCTTAACTCGTTTCAGAGCGTTCAACTCTCCGGTTAACTGTTAAAACACTTTTTCGTCACAATTTCCCCCGCCGGCGCCGCCCCTCAGCCGCCCGCTCCCGTCAGGCTCCGGGAGGGATGGCGCTGGCGGGAACATCGGGCGGCGATTCCTTCCAGGAGAAGCTCACGCGGGTAACGGGGGCCGGCGGGGCTGGCTTTCTCTTTTCATCGCAGTTTTCCGCACACACACGTCGTTCGTGCTGTTTGCGCCTTGTGGTGCGGTGGTTTTCTCCATTGCTGCCTGCGTAGGTCGCTGAGGCGCGGGTACGGCGGCAGGGTGAGGGAGGAGGTGCTAGGGGGGAAAAAGACGCTTAAAGTTATACGGCTGCGTCCATTCTCCGTCAGGTTTATTAGGCAGGCTTGTGCAAGAGTTTATGTTCCTTACGTGCTGTAAAGCTTCCATGTTCTTCAGCTGTTACTGGGCATAATCTAACCTTTCTAATCTAATTAGGTTGGATATTAGGGAAAATTTCTTTGGTCCAAGAGTTGTCCAGGCCTGGCACAGCTGCCCAGGGCAGTGGTGGAGTTCCCATCCCTGGAGGGCTTTAAAAGCCATATGGATGTGGCACTTGGGGACGTGGGTCAGTGTTGGGCTGGGCAGTGCTGGGGGAATGCTTGGATTTGATGATCCTGGAGGGCTTTTCCAGCCCAAACAATTATATGATTCCACAATCACAGCCCTACCTGAGAGCATTGTGTTGATCTCTTATTTCTGACCTTGTTTCCGATGGTACGGCTGCTTTTCAGGCACATTGTGGGGACTCTCTCTCGCTCTCCTGCAGAGAGAGTTCCCAGGCATGGCTCGGGAACTTTTATCCTGCACGTTTTAAACACAGTGTTCACCATTTTTCCAAACACTCATTTAACATCTCTTGGGTCGTTACTGTGTCTGTAGCCAACAGGCCGCATGAAAAAGGTGAAATTTTATCACATGGAGGTTATTACATACAGGTGTCCAAAGATATGAGTGAGAAAAAAAAAAGGATATAATATAGTCTTTTAGACCACAGAGGCTGTTTAAAAAAGAGGGAAAGGAATTTTTCTCCCCTTTTCCCACACATGCCTCCTGCACTGATGTAGGAGTTGCTCTTCAGGAGTGCAGAGTTTGCAGTGGTTTACATTCTTCACATCTATCAGCTATTTTCTGTCATTTCACATGATTGCTTGTTCTTTTGTCTCCCTTCTCTGGCAGGTTACTTCATGGCTAAGGAAATTATTTAACGATGCGCCTATTCCACAATATGAGGTGAATGAAAGGACAGTGGATATTTTGCATGAAATTGTGGAGTGCAATGAAGAGAGTGATAAGGATGCTATGTTGGTGATAGAGGACATGAAGGACAGGACAAGCAAGTATGAAGCAGAAGGTGAGTTTGAAGCTCCATTTCTCAGTTCCACCTGAGTCAGGCTGTTCTGAGCGATCTTGAAGATTGTATTTGTTGAAAACTTTGGAATATATATAAATATATGTAATTGAAATAGACTCAGCTTTTTTTTTTATTAATTTTTTACTACAATTTACAGTGACATAAGATTGTTCAAGGAAAATTTGTTAAGCCATCTTGAGCAGGCCATAAATGTGGACAAGGAGGTTAATTGCTAAAACCTCCTAGTCTACTGGGCTGGATAGCACAGCATGGAAATATTGCCTGGATAGAGAGGGAAGTGTCCCTGCAGCTATTCAAGAGTTTGAGCTGGTGCTAAGGCACTGTTAAGAAAAGCCCTGGAGGAGCCTGAAACAACTTTGAGATGATTAAGTTGTGCTGAAGCTGCCTAGAGTGACTATTTTTTAATTTGTTTGTTGTTTTTTTTTTGAGTTAGTGGTTCAGGAGACCATAGTATGTTTTTAACACACGTGATAAAGGACTGTCACTTAACAGGCTTTTCTCAGGAAGGAATTTCACTTTTCTGTGCAACCACTGGCATAGTACGCATGGAGATATTTTCGTAAGAAAACGTGTTTGGTTTTTGTTCCTTCAAGTGCCTTGCCAAACAAAAAATTATGGAGACAGGCTTCCCGAGCCTGCCATGAACAAGGCTCAGGCTGAGCTTTGTGAGGAGGTGACCTGCATGTGCTCATTGCTGTAGCATGAGGGTGAGCTCTTGTTTGTCTGATGTCAGAGAGACTGGCCAGGGAGGGAGTGGAGCAGTGCTTTCTCCCTTTATACACCGAATTTGTTTGACAAATGGAGATGTGGCAGCGGGTTTGGCACGTTTAAGCCTTTTTTAAAAGCGTCTTTCTTCCCCCAGCAACAGGCAGGTAGCCAAGTTCCCACTGTGGGATTGGGTTCTAGCTTTGAAGAGCTCAAAAAAGAGCAGTAACATTAAAAAAATCACTTCTTTGGGTTGTATATATTTTCCAGCTGAGTACTGGCACGATATTCTTCGAGAAACCCTGGGTTTTTTTGAAAACAGTCTGTTTGGAGAGGTCACCAGCGACCTGGTACGAAGTGCAATGGGCCTCGAAGTGGAGAACACGTCTCTTACCAGGTATTTCTTCACACTCTGCATTTGTGGTGAGGATCTATGCTGCTTTCCTCTGTTTTTTCACTTCAGCAGCTTCAAAGCTGGCGCTAGGAATCTTATTTGTCAGGGTTATTTTTCACCCCTTTGGAGTGCGTGGGAGCTGAGCACAAAGTGCTAGCTCTAGGTTATCCCAGAACAAGGCTCTGAAGCCTGAGAAGGGCCTGGGATGGAGTTAAATCCCTCCTTTTTCTCATGCTTTTGTAGTCAGTGGCTGCAAGCCACTGCAAGCCAGTGGGACTGTTGTGCCAGGTGTCCCAGGCTACAGCAGTGCTCACACTGCTTAGGCAAAGACTGGGGAACTGTGACTGGTCTTCCAGCCTCAGCTCCTCGTCCTTGTCTGTCTCATCTGGCCTCAGTTCATTCAAGGAGATGTGGAATTCACGTTCTCTAAACAGAGAGACATAATTCTCTCTCACAGGTTTTTTTCTTGGAGAAGCACGGAGAGAAGAAGAGAAAACAATTCTTAGCTCTATTCTCTCCTCCTGTTGTTTTTGCACGTCTGGAATGTGTTGGGAAGATTGTTTACCTGAAGTGATTTGTCAGTTGGATTCTGTGGAGGATTGTTTTGATTCCTTGGCCAGTTGGGTCAAAGCTGTCTCCTGGCTGTCTCAGACAGTCACGAGTTTTTCTTTAGTATAGTATCTCTTTAACATAGTACAGTAAGATGTAATATAATATAGTTTTAATAAAGCAATTGTTCAGCCTTCTGAATCAATGGAGTCAGATGACAATTATTCCCAACATGGGGGGGCACCCTGTTTCTGTGATAAGGAGATTCCCTCTGCCATGGAGAAATGGCATCTGTTAGTCTGGTCTCCTTGGGCTGCTCTCCATGGCTTTGGCCTGTGGCACTGCAGCACTTGCAGCAAAGAAGGGGCACAGTCTGCCTTGGAATCCAATTTTTGTGTGATATTTAGGATCTTGGCTCTTATATCTCTCTTCCTGGGCTGGAGGGGGAAGAGCTTTGGGCCACTTGGGAAGAGGAAGATACTCAGATGCTGCTGGGCACATCTTGTGACCATGCATTTTCAGGTCTGGATACAGTTTCTCTCAAAGGCACTGAGGCAAGCCAGGAGTGGAGCACGTGGTGGTTTTATTCACCAGAGTGCCAGTTGTTGTTCATTTGCTCAGGTTGCTGGGCTGTTTTCCCTTCCACATGGAAATCTATGTTAGTTATGGAAACCACATCCCCTTAGCATCTTATTTAAATTTACTCCTGCCATAACATTAATAGGAAACTAAGTCATTTGTTTAAAGTGTGGAGAAAAGAACAACAACAACTCTGACTTTCAGAAAAGCTGACTTCTAAGCATTCCCACTGATTCTCTCTTTACCAGCTTCTACAGTGTCTTAAATGACATGACCTTGGAACTGTATAAAACAAAATCAAAAAACGATGAACTGGAACACAAATTGAAGATCCTCACAAAAAAACTAACTTCAGCACTGATGGTGGAAAAGCAGTTAGAGAAGTGAGTAATGGATGAGGACGAGGGAAAGATTAAAGTAATACTGGTGATTTCTGTCTTGGGCAATGTTGGTTGTGGTAACTAACAAGGATAACTGAATTTTTAGGGGTTTGACACATCTCCAATTCTAAGTATTTGGAAGTATCTATCAAAACCTGTGTGTTATGGATACTTTCAGTAGTCAAAAGAGATCTGGGAAAGCATCAAAACAATTATTTTAAAGCAAAAGCAATCTACAAGCTGTTTTCAGATACAAGTTTCCGTCTTCCTCCAGTTGCTTTTGTCTGAGGCTGAAGACAAATCTGATTTTCTTAGCACATTTAGCATGTCCTGTGTAGTCAGACTAAGGGAGGGGAAACAAAAACCATTCTCAGGTAAGAAGTTCCCTTAACCAGTGTGTAGAAGACGTAATAATCGTAATAACTCTAAAAGAAATCTGTGTCAAATCCTTTCCCTGGAGGATGTAATCTGAAGTGCTTTGCCAAGCACAGTGTGATCAACCCCAGCCTTGAGTAGGGGTTGGTCCGGATGCTCTCCACAGCTCCCTTCCAGTCTAATTATTTGTGGAGTGGGGTTTTCTTTTTTTTTGTCTTTTAAAGTGGTAATTGGGCCTGTAAAATAGGTTCCCATGCGCTTTCTGCAGGTTTGGCTCCTCTTGATATGAGGTTTAGCTCATGTAACCAGGACTCTAAGTGAGTTAGGGCGTTATGGACAAGACTATTACCCTTTGCTTTTAGGCGTATGGCTTTCTTCTTTGCCTCTGTTTTCTCTGGTCCGTGGGGTTCTGGAGGTAACAGCTGTATATGTTTCCATTGGAAAATCTCACAGGGAAATACGGGGCTTTCTCAATTTTCTTCCTTCTTGTGTTTGTTGTATTGCAGGGTTTAGCTTGAGCATAGATAAGTAACAGTATTTGTATACTGATACATGTTTGAATGTAACTGTTTTTTCTTTTTGCCTTTTTTTTTAAGGGATATTGAAAAATTGGAGGCATCTCAGAAAGCAGAACAGGCCAAAGCTGAGATTCACTCCAAGAACTTGAAGTTTCTGGAAGATAAATCTAAGGATATGAAAATAAGGATCAGGGATGCTGAGGTAGGTTGAATGAATTTTCTTACATGACACTGTAATGGGATGACACAGCAGTGTTTGGTTGAGCCCAGATTTGTAGCTACAGAGACATTCCATAAGTTTCCTAAACTCCAGTACTGGGGACTCTTGAGCTGACAGGACAACATGTGAATATAGCTCAGTTGTCCCTGCTGATCTCTCCTCAGTGCATCCTGTGATCAGTACAGCACAGTGCTGTCTCCTCATTCCCTGAGAAACTCTGGCAGGTTACTTTATGGCTAAAGTAAAGCCATGCCTGATACCTTGACAAACACGAGATGCAAAGTGTTGTACTGCTATTGACATTTTCCTGAGCAGCCTTTCTTCAGCCTTGCCATGTGCCCTTCTCCCACTGCTTTTCTGGAAAGACTTACTATTCTTACAACAAATTTTAGCAGCGCCTCATTTTGTACACCAGCTATAGCTGTGGCTCCATGTATAGCACACGTTTCTGCTGTGGACAACCTGGGTTCTTCTCTGCCTGTTTAGATACAAACAGAAGGAAATGGTGACATCTTTCTCCTTCTTGTTACATTTTGTGCTCTCTCCTGTTTGCAGAATGAGCTTGTTGCCAGGGGGTTGGACAAATCCCTGACACATGAGGCACTCATGAAATCATCTGAGGTAGGTTTTTGCATACAAGAGGGATGTTGCTACAGTGGGACAGGCCAGGCTTGCTTGTTGGGTGCTTTCAGGAATTGTAGTTTGCTTTTTGGTTGTCTGAACAAATCTTAATGGCCAAAGGAAGCACAAATAAAATCCTGTAGGTGGAGTCCTATGAAATGTGATCTTTTGTGTGGGTTTGTTTCTCCTAAAGGTGTCTACTGGAGAATTTCCACAGAATAAATTCCCTGACGCTGAAAACAGATCTGCCTCCTTTATTTCTGGTCTGTGTTATAAACAGAGTGGATATTCTGTGGGCTATATCCCATTACATGGCTACCTGTGTATTGCATTTCTTGATAGAACGACCCATGTGCTGTGTCATTGCTGCTTTGTGTGAAGTAAATATCTTCCAAACACTTAAAAAAAAAGGGGGGTAAGATCAAATGAAACCCAAATTCAGAATCGCTGTGTGCTATTTTTTTTGTTGTTGTGTCTTTAAACATAGCATTTTTCAGCTTTATTGTAAGCCTAGTGGAACCTCTTAAAGAAAAAGCACATTTCTTGAGTTAGTAACTACAGGTTTTACAGCTTTGTCCTGTGCACTCAACATATTTCCATAGTTTTTGCTGTTACTGTAGTGGGGACTCAGTCTTTCTCCTTATTACTTTTGCTATCTTTTCCTTTGTGTTTTTGAGTAGAGCAGTGAAAATAGGTTTCCTGGTTTCTCTGTTGTGCTTCTCACCCGCCAGCACTGGGTGGCACTGCTCACATTGCCCAGTGTTAAACCAGGGTACTGACCAGAACTAATTTTTGTTGGAATTTTGCATCCAAAAAGCCACAGGCAAATTTTCTGGGCTTGTCATCTTCTAGAGCACAAGCTTAAGGTACGGTATGACTCCTTGACATTTATAGAACTGCTTTGCCAAGACATCAGTGAAATGGGCAGCACAAATAACTTTATCTTTTTTATTTAACTTTGATTATTTGAAAAGAGTTCAGCTCTGTGGAAGGTACTCAGTTTGCAGCCCCAAAAAGAAGTTACTTCTACTTTATAAGGATAAGGGAGAGTCTTTTTGCTGCTGCATGTGCAAAACTTCTGTTTTCCATGTGTTTAGTAGAGAATGAAGTCTCTCAAATTCTGAAATGTTGTAGGTAACTGTGGATCTATCTCACTCATTTCCATCAATTCTACAAATAATTGTCTAGAATATGATCTGCCTTTCTCTCTCTGCAGGAGCTGGCTGCACTGCATAAAAAAATGGAGCCATTGAAGATGGAACTGGCATCCTATCTTGATTTACCTCCTGTAATTATTTATTCCACTGTTATGTTGTATTTGACATCAGGTTAACTTTAGTGGACTTCAGAATGTAAGGGATATCACAGTAATGTTGTGATGCCTTTGGTCTGTTAATGATGCAAACCAAAGACTTGATCTCTATTTATTAATCAAAGCCAAGAAATTAAGTTTCTTTGTCAGGCAAACTTTGTTCTAACAGAGTAGACAGATTTTCTGGGTAAATTAGTATTCAGGTGAATTAGCTAGAGATTGGACAAAGAAATATGGAGGAAAAGGAATCCCCTAATATAAACAACTTTTTGAGATTTACCAGCGTTTTAGCTGTAAGTGTTGTTGGGCTGTCAACATGGTGGACACAGCACGTGTTGCAGATTTTGGAGCTCTGAACGGGATCTTAAGGATCCTGAAGAAATAGCCAAACGTAGGTTTTGTCCCCTAAACTGGCTGCTCCATCATTTTCTTTGATTTCTCTTGAGGGTGCTGGGTACTCAGCTCTATGAAAATGCAAGTTTCTCTTCTCTATCATACAAAGACTGATGTCTTTCTCCTAGAGAAAAAACAAAAAACAAAACAAACAAACAAACAAACAAAACCAACAAAAAAAAAAAAAAAACACACCCACAAAAGCTATGGTTAGAAAGGTGGGACTGCTGCTAGGTCTCATCCATCTTCCTCCAAGAGGCTGCTTCTTCCTTCCTTGAAGTGGAACAGGACATTCAAATGGGATTAGGTTCTCCAGTTCCCTCCTCCAGCCTTGCTGTCAGTGGAGACAAGGGAGAGCCCCTGGTGCAGGCAGGAGGAGGGGAGGGAGGTTTATCCTTGCAAACTTACTGTGCTTTGGAAAATTCTTGCAGAAATATTGTTGAAATCAAGTCCCTTGATTGGTGGGTTTGTAAAATTGCTTGAGATGAAGGGTTTTTTTCAGACTTTAGGCCATACCAGGCTTCTGAAAAATACATGATTGCCCAGTCCAAACCAGTATTAGACATTTAAAGGCAATACCTTCTGCATGTGAAGTGCGTACACAAAACTTAATTAATTGTCCATTATTTCACCTGAGGCTCATCATTAGATTCTTGTAAAGGTGCAGGGACTCTTGTTTCTTGATGAAATGCTGATTTTTATTCCACTTTCTCTCATTAGAGCATTCTTCTGGCACAAGTGAAGGTTGAAGAAGCGAAAAGAGAACTTGTAAGAGTTTTTTTATCTTTCCAGGAGCTACATGTATTAATTAATTACAGATTTACCCACCTTAGATTGTAGTCTTAATGTTCTCATGGGGAGATTTGGTGAGGCAGAAGTTGTAGATGCTGATCAGGGGAACTGGTGGAGTGATGTCTGAGCTGCAAAGGCAGTTGGGCACAGTGATATCAGTGCATATTAGGTAGCTATATCTCCATGAATTTTGCCTATTGGAATGTTTATTCACTCACTGTAGGTCTCAGAAGCTTCCTTGCTCCTCCTGAACTCTCAGAGAGCTCCAGGCTTATTTTAGTCAACATCAGCTTTGTAAACTGCAGTGGGGACCTTCCCCTGTAAAACATGGTGCCCATTTCCTCCATGCTTGTGTAATCTACAGGTGTGGCTGTTGAGCCAAACACCATAAGGCTGTTTGGGAAGTTCATATGTAGCTTTCCTGTGTGAGCTGAGCTACGTTTGAGCCCCATAAAACATATTTTTGTTCCTTTGGGCTACTGCCTGCTTGCTGTAAAGCATGCGTGGTAAGCCTTAAACCTGTGATCAAAAATCACATCTAGGTAAGAGCATTTTTCACATTTTCAGATGAGACTGCCTGGGTTGGTATACCACTTGTTTTTGATTCAGGAGTACAAGCTCCCCTTACCAGCCTGAGGCTGTTCTGTGGTCAGAATGCTCACCTTTGGGGAGGACCAGGGAGCTGGGACGTCTCCAAAATCACATTGGGGCACAGAGTAAAGGCAGCTGAGCTTGTCCAGCCCTCTGGAGGTTTCCCTATGGCTGTGTGCCCTTTGCAGTGAGTCCCTCCAGCTCAACACCAGGGTTAATCCATCACTGCTGACAACCTCTCAGGGTTTGATCATTGCACATGTGTTTGTTTGCCAGCAGTCTGTGGAAGCTGTCTCGTGGTCCCTGATTCCTCTTGGTTTTCTCTCCCGGTAGAAAGTCCTGGATGAAGAGCTCTCAAGGGAGATTGAGGCTGTGCCTTTCGAGCTGTTGTAGCCCAGCAAACCCCAGCTCACCTGAAGGGGCCTACATGGAACGTGATTTTCCTTCTGTTGCCTACTGACTTGCACTAGCAATGCACTTCAGAATTCTTACGTGCATCTTGGCAGTTTCCTGCTGTGCTCTTCTCTCTGTTGGCCTTGTGTTTGTAAACTTCACCTATTTTTCATTAAATAGCATTCAAACTTGCTGTTGTCTTTAGGAGTTGTTTTTCCTTCTGTGATACACACCTGTAAAGCAGCTCTATGGATAGTGCAGGCAGGCATAGTTTTCAAACAAAACCAGAAAAAAACCCCCACACAGTAAGACTTTTCTAGATGTGAAAACAGTATTTTTGCAGAACCCCTGTGGGACGTGATGATTTTGAAATCAATTGTCCTTAAAATTCTACCTCAAATGTCATCTTCCCTAAGGGTTCCTTGAACCCCGTTTTTTCCATGCCACCACCAGCACCAGCCTTCCACACTTCCAGAAGTGTTTTGCACACGCCAGCTTTTAGAAACCATTTCATGCCAAAGCCAAAAATCAGAAAATCTCCTGTGTACAGGGAAAAAGCAAAATCTAGAAAGAGTGGTAGCACATGAGGACATTGAGCATTGGCCTGTTTGTTGTGGGAAGCATCTAGGCAAATAGTGGTGGTCTCAGTGAGAATCTGCTTGCAGTTGGAGTAGCAAGAGATTTTACAAAGCCACGAGAGCTGTTGTTTCACTGCAAAAGTTGATTTTGCAGTGATCTGCAGGAAGAGAGGTTCAAAATTACACTGGTGTCAATAAAACACAAGTGTGACCTCTGTCCTCTCCTTTGTTTTGCTGTGATGGGGAAGAACGGAGGGATGCCCAACGAGCCACTGCCCATGGGAAATCTCCAGCCTCTTTTCATACTGCAGGAGTTGCTGTTTAGTTCCTGGTGTTTAAATCAAGCTGTGAGGAAAGGGTGAATTGCCTTATTTTTGGGGCTATTTATCTTCACTCCTCTTTGGGTAGGAAATGAGGGCAAAAGCAAGTGGAAAACTCATTGGCTAAACTGGCTCAAGAGAAGTTACCTCAGGGGTAACTGATGTGAAATTTGGAGCAGGTAGCATAGTGCAGGGATGATTACAGATGCAGGGATGATTACAGGTGCAGCTGCTGCTTAGAAATAAAACCCACACAAAAGCCAGGGGAATGGTGTTTGAACCTGGAAAGAAGAATATAATCTGATTTTCCTGTTGTGGTAGGGGAAAGAAGTTGTAGTCTTGGCAGACATCAGAAAATGGCTGGGTAGACATCAAAGAATGATCTAGCAAGAAAGCCAGTGTAAGGCACTGGAGGTCATAGCCTTGCAATTAAGGAATCTTAATCACTGGAAGCTCTTAAAAGCAAATTAGAAATTATTTGCTCGAGTGTTTAAAATGTGAGGGAGTTTTGATCACTCTTTGGAATACAAAGATGGGATAGATGAGGGCTTGAGGGTGCTGCCGGCTCTGCTTTTTAATGAGAGCCTCAAGACTTGGCTAAGATTAGGAGAAGACTTTTTATCTCACACGTGTAACCACGACTCCAGGCTTGGGAGGATTTCCTGGGGATTGTGGCATGTCCATAGCTCCCCCTCATCATGAAGTGCTGCCCCAGTTATGAAACCTGGGGTTGTTCTCCCCTCCCCACGCCCACGGAGCAGCTGCACCTCTCCCCGGCTGCTGCTGTTTCACAGCATGTGAAGAGCCTGAATCTAGAGAGCAGCAGGGCCAGACTGTCTGGAGAGCTGCCCAAGCACAGCCACGTGTTGCTTCCTAGCACTGGAAACTCGAGGAGGGAAATAAAAAAATCCCCAGCAGCTGCATCCGAGCCGTGTGTCACAGCTGAGCCGTCCCCGGCGCACGCCGCGTAAATCAGCAGGCAGCTGTCAGGTCTGACTGCTCAGCTCCTGGTTGGAAATCAGGAAAAGTCAAATAAACGAGATTTGTGCAGCCCTTTGGGAAGGTTTCCAGCTCTTTGGTTTTGCATGGGCAGAGTGCCTTGAGGGAACCCTTCTGGTGTTTTGGGACAGACCAGCTTTTCCCACGTGGGGATGGGGTGCAGGAGGAGGAACAGCTCGCTGAAGTCATGCTGGGACAGGAGCACACCAGGCTGGCTGGGAAAACCTCTGATTCTGCCCTGGCAGCTGTTGAGAGTTTCCACAGGAGTCACAGCGGGTGGCTGCCAGCTGGACCTCGGCTGTTATGGAACAATCACCCAACTGAGAGGGACAGGAGGCTGGGGAGGCCTCCACTGCCTCACTGTCCCTGCAGGGCACATCAGCTGCTCCACTCTGAGCTCCCAGACTGAGTTTTGGAGACACCTGTGTTAGCACCTGCAAGATGAGAGCAGGTGCAGGGCCAGGCTGAGCTGCAGACATTCCATTCTCCCAACCATGTGCAAGAGATGTTTGTGTTTTATTGCTGTGTGCTCAATTCCCTCTCCTGGAAAGCGTGAGGAATTCCACCAAAAAGCAACAACAACAACAACCAAAAAACTAACAACAACAAACCAAACAAAACCAAACCAAAAAAAAAAAACCAAACAAAAATCCCAAACTAAACAAACAAACAAACAAACAAACAAAAAAACCAAAAAAAAACAAAACAAAAAAAAAAAAACAAACAAAAATCCCAAACTAAACTAAACAAACAAACAAACAAACAAACAAAAAAACCCCAAAAAACCCCCAAAAGAAAACAAAGAAAAACACCCACCAAAAACACACACAAAAAAGGTGTCATTAAAATTATGAACTAGATGTGAAAAATGGGGATCAGTCTCAAGCAAAAAATCGTACACATTTTACCACAAATTGGCATAATATTATCAGGCCACTATGTAAAATAGTAACTCCTTCAGGGAAAAAAAAAAAAAAAAACCAACAAAAACCAACCACTTGCAGACTAGCATAGTATTGTGAATCAATTTAAAAGAAAACATTCAGATACTAAACCCAGAATAATTAAAGTAAAATGCTAGAGAAATGTGGAATCCATCAGGCAAATTTAAGGCTTCTAAGCTGACATATGTATCTTTTTACTTAAAATGCATTGAATCAAAAGGTGTAGCTGGAATCTCTTTTGGCTGTATCTTTTGGCTAGTACTATAGGAATACTCCATCTGTTGCAAACATTTCATTGTGGTTCTTTTCCAGTCTTCCTTTGACTGAAAGTATTCAAAAATCTCCTTTTATTTATATAAATCCCTTGGTAGATGTAGGATATTAAGATGGGACCTTAAGTAAAAATAACTAAAAATATTAAAAGTTTCAATATTTATTTTAAAAGTAAGTTGGTTGCATTTGGTACCACCCCCAGTAAAACATTCCAAATATCTTGATACTCAATGCTGTTTTGGGTACTTACAAGCAAAAGTTTATGTGTCAAATGGTAAGTATGTAAAAGATCTTGCAAATTACATTTAGAACTGAATGGGTCTTAGAGGTCTGGGAAATGTTTTGTGTTTCTAAGTTATTCTTTGAATTTTTAAAGTACAGTGTCAGCAGTGAAACAATAGTGATCCTGCTCTGTGTGACCTTGCAGGAAATCCTTCACTTTGCCTGCAAGCAGGCAGTCGCTGTTAGTAACTTCAATCAACTTTAGAAACATTTCTTATTTTGTTAAATGCTCACTTCTCTAAAGAATTTCAGCACTGGGCTGTGTTTCTGCTTCTCCAATTCACAATTATTTCTCCTGCAGAACACCACATGTGAGTAAGCAGAGGCTTTTACCAATCAGAGTGTGTTTGAAGTAAGACTTGTGATTCCTTCTGTCTTTGCCAGGTACCACATGGGAGGACACAGAGCTGCCTCCCTCTGCCTTGAAGTCCTTCAGCATTGCACTGTCCTGAACTGTGTAAACTCTAGTAAAAAAACATCCAGGAACTCCAAAATTACAAACTAATCTATATAAATGCTTCCTCTAGCCCCTTGATAAATATGCCTCTAATGCTAATGAAACAGCTGTGCTGGTTAATTAGATTATGCTGGCTGATAAAACCTAGCAGCAAGGAAATGTTTTATTTCTTTTCCTTCCCAAGGAGACTCTGGCTGTACCTTGGGGGTGGATGAACACCATGGTGTTCTGGATACCTTTTCCATGGTCCCTGTTTGGCCACTGCTGTGGCTGCAGGAAAACCTGGGTGACCTCAAGAGCAGCAGGGGGATGTCTTGGCTGGGTTTCAGCAGCACATTTATGATTTCAGACTCTTGTTTAAATGTGGCTTGGAAGGTGAAGCTTCCTTTGCAGAGGACGCCTAGTAACGTGCCTGTGGATGCCTCTGAGATGAGCTCTTGAAAAGTCATTCTTCAGTCTGGAGCTGGAGGGAAGCTTTTGGCCTGGGGCTGAGAAAAATAAGGGAGCAGGGACAGAGGAGTGTCCCCGTGCCAGGAGCTGGCTGAGAGAAGCCACCCTGAGAGCCCTAATGAGGCAAAATGCTCTCACAACCAACTTCTACTTTGTTGAGAGAGTGTGGCTCAAGGTTGTGCTCCAGGATTGAGTTGATTTCCTCCCATTGTCCTTGGGGAAGCGCCGAGATTCCCTTTGCTCAACCACGTTTTTTCCTGGCGGGGGAGTTCTTATCACATCCTTGTGGGGTAACTAACACTGAAATCATTGCACTCTTGGCAGACACAGTCAAAGAATGATAGCATAGAGCCAGAGGAGCCTAAAAGATGTGCTGGGCTGCACTCCCAAAATTCCTGGAGCCAGCACCACCTCCAGCCTTTCCTCTTCCCTTCCTAATCTTTCAGTGCAATCTCCCTGATGTTTCAGAATGAGTCCCTTGGTATTTCTCCTAATCTGTCATTTAAAATCTCAGGCAATAAAGCTTTCACCACTTCCCTTGGGGAGATGATTTTTCCAGCCTGTGGTTCTCCATTCAAAAGCTTTCCACACTGATTCTCAGCTTAGACATGTCCTTCTGTAATTTCACCCCATTAAAATAATTAATGTATCCCCAGCCTTCTCCCTTGATGCCACTTGCTTCATCCAGACATTTACACATGCCTGGTGTCTCCCTGCTCAGTTTACTAATTCCACGGTGCTTAAGGCAGTCGGAATTCCTTTTCCGCTCTTTTGTAAAGCCTGCCGATTCCTTCAGCCATGGAATCTTGGAGCTCCTTCCCATGTATCACTCTTCCCGCAAATCCGAGGCAGATGCTCACCGCCCTCGCCCGCGTCCTTATGCTTTCCTG